AGACATCTTATCATACCATATAATCAAATTTTCATCTTTTTTTGCTTCATGTTTTACATGTTGAACTCTTCAGAATGATCACCTTTTAATGGCTGCATAATTGTCCATTACATGAAAAAAGTCATCATTTAAGCAATCTTTATAAGTGAACACTATGGTTGTTTTTGTTTTTTTTCAATATAATGACTTCTTTGTTCAAACTTTTAATACATTATCTTATTGATGAGGCAGGAAATTCCAGATACAAGTCTTTCAAGTACAAGAAATGACCTTACAGGAACTTCGTGCATGAAGGTCACCATCCAATAGCTGATTTCCTTTATAACATGTTTATCTCTTTATTGAAGTATAACATACATTTAGAAAAGTGTAAAAATCATACGTGCTCAGTATGATGACTTTCCACAAAGTGAAATCACCCAAATGAGGAAATGGAATATTATCTGCCCAAAAGACCCGATTCTCCCATTCAGTCATTACCTTCTCCCCAAAGGTAGTAACTACTATCCTCACTTTTCCCACATAGAATTCTTTTTTTGCCTGTTTTTTTACTTCATATAAATGGAACCAAATTGCATCTATTCTCCTGGCTGTGGCTTCTTTTGCTCAATGTCATGTTTATGAAGATCACATATCGCATATAGTTGTAATTTTGTCGTTCTCCTTGCTGATAAATATTCCCTAATGTGAATAAACAATTTTTAATGGACATTTGAACTATTTCCTCCTTGTACAAGTAACAACCCTATAAATATTGTTGTTTCAGTCTCATGACATGTATCTAACAATTGAACTGATATGGACACAGTGCCTAGCGCAGACTTCGCAGACAGTGAGAAACTGTGTGCCAAAGTAGTTGCACAAATGCACATTCCCTTTAGTGGAGTTCAAGTCACTCAACATCCTGATACTTGGTGTTGTCAATCTTTTTGCTTGCTGTTGTGATGGGTGTATATGGAATCTCATGTTATTTTAATTTGCATTTCCTAGGGAATTGATAATGGTGAGAGCACCTACCTGTTCCATATTGGCCATTTGGATGTCTTCTTTCATAAAGCACCATTTAAGTCTTTTACCTGTTTTTTAGAAGTTTAGGGTGCTTGTCTTATTGATTTATAGAAATTCTTTATATGTTCAGGATACAAGTTCATTGTTGGATTTTGTGTATTAAAAATATTCTTTCCCATATGCCACTCGCTTTTTGATAATTTTGATGACTAGAGGTTCTTAAGTTTTAAAGCAGTTTATTATCAACTCTTCCCTTTTCTGGGGTCCTATTTAAGGAATTTTTAGTTATTCCAAGATCATGATGATATTCCCATTACCTTCCAGATTCTTTTAATTAAGTTATTCACATTTGCCCTCTTAATTCATACCTTATGTTTTCCAAAGTTGGTCATGAGAGACCGTCCATGTGATTTCTTTCCACTTTCTTTCACATCTGGGTGCTGAGTAAATAAAGCATATTATAAGCAATTGTCCTCTTTGCTCTTGTTTTTTTCCTTAGTTCTAAAGGGGTGGCAGGGCGACCCTCACTCTGTCTGCCTCAAGGTGGGCAGCAAGCTGGTCCTGCTTGTTTCTTGCTGCCCCAACCCTTCACTAGTCCAAAGGTTGCTGTGTCTGGCTCACGAGAGGAGGGCACTGGCGTGAAGAGGCCTGGGAACCAGCCAGGAGACAGCAGCTGCCAACAGCTTCCCAGAGCCGAGTTCAAGGGCCTCTCAGCTGGCAGGCCCTTCCAGTGCCAATTTACAAGGCTCTCCACAGCACAGCACATATTTTTCTGAATGCTCTGAGTGGGAATAAATTATCTTCAGTTAAAAGTAGATTTAATTCTGAAAAAAGGACCAAAGTCATTAAGAGCCAATTCTGTTGAGTAAAATAATTTGATAGATTGGATACTGCTATTTGAGGTTTTAAAACATTAAAAATAAATAAGATCCAAGCATATCTATGAGGTAATAAAATTGTTTTTCTTTAAAAAACTATAGCAGAGCATATCTGTTCATTGAAATAATTCTGTGATGAGCATTGGAAAGAAGTATTGTAGCGGCTGAATTTTTCCTCACGTGGGTTAATTTTCCAGGACAGAGATCTTCTTGCTTGAGCTTATTATTAGGGGACAGAAAAGCTACCCTGCTCAAAGGTTTAAGGTTCTTTTTCAATTCATCCCTAAAAATATGTATTGACTGGTTCACCACCAATGACAAGGTATAAAGGGAGATCCGCAGTCCCTGTCCTCCCAGGACTTCTAGCTAAACAAAGAACCACATAAATGGAATAAATGTGAATGAACAAAAACATTTAAAATCCAAAGGCCAGGGAAGGCATCTAAATATATCCACAGAGAGTAATCCAAGATGTAATTTGGGGCACAGAGAGGGGAAGACTGAGAATTGGTCAGGGAAAAGAGGCAGTTCAGAAAATTCTGGAGGGGTGAGGATAGGGGGCTTACAGGGTAATTTTAGTTGACTGGTTTATGTATTTTGACTGCCTTTTACAATCAGTTGAAGCTCATCATTAACTGTTCAAAAACTATGGAATTATGAAGGTAGCCAGATGTAGTTATAGAAGTAACAATGCTCTCCAAGTGAGGAGAGCCAGTTCTGATACGAAGTAGCTACATGTCCTTTGGTAAACCCATTCACTCAATCTGTTTTCTTATCTGTAAAAATCAAAGAATGGACACCTCCTCTGAGTTCCTTTCTACTTCTAATAGCCCATGTATTGGTAGGGGAACCATGCTGCTTAATGTCTAAAACAGAACCCTTGTAAGAGTGAAAGAGGGGGCACTTTTAACAATAGCTGGGACAATAGGTGTGCAGCAGGGCTGGTCAGGCAAGTTTAGGCATATGATCGTCATATTCAGTGGGCACTTGCTATGTCTCGGCTTTATGTTACATACATTACTTATAGTCTCATTTAATATATACAACCATCCTCAGAGATAAGTATGATTAAACCCAATTTTACAGATAAAAACTGAAGTTAGTCAAGTTAGACAAAAGTTACCAAGCTAGTTAGTGATTAAACAGATTCTGGGTAGCTCTGTCTCCTCTCTGGCTTACTCTGCCTCCCCAGCTTCTCCCACTCCACATCCCTTCAAAAAATTCAGAGAAGAAAAGCTATAATACGCCACTGTGGACAACAGTGTCAGACAGTGTTTATCTGACAATAAAGGAGAGAGCTAACCTAGTCCAGCAGTTAAGGCAGGACTCATTTAAGACATCATATTGAAGGTGGAATTTAAAAAACTAATTAGAAGTTAGCTAGAGCAGATGTAGGAATGAATTATTCCAGGCAGAGGAAAGGAATGTGAGGAAGACCACAGCATATAAACAATTGTGGCTGGCTTGACCATTGTGGGAGGTGGTATGACTGGGAAGACCTGACACTGGAGAGGTAGGCAAGGAGGCAGTGATGTCAGTCGCTGGAAGCCTGGATGCAGTTTGTCATTTATTACCAAGCATAATGGAAAGCCACCAAAGAATTCCAAACAGTTGAGTGACATGACTGGATTTCAATTTTTAAAACATTGTGATGATTCAGAGTAGAGATTAGGTTAGAGGGGAGCAAGAGTAGTCTACAGGAGAGAGAACACTGGACTTAAGGTCGACACAGCCATAAAGAAGAAGAGCGACAGATGGGAGACACATTCAGGAGGTCCAAACAACACGCCATGGAAGCCTGTTGAATGTGGAGACGTGGGAGGGTCAAGTACATGGGTCTGAGCTTCTTCCCTCACCTGAATATGCATGGGGAAGACAAGTCCAGGGGCACTGGGTTTTGCCTGAAGGTCCCACTGGAGTACTTGAGTCATTACCACCTCCCATCCCAACCCAGTTCTAACTCTTTCTCACATCATCTTGCAATAGGGGATTTTTGTTTTTCAAGCAATATGAGGATATAAATGGAAGAAATGGGGAAAGCATTTCACAGATGACAAATGATAAGAAACAAGTACGAGGTGCTTTCTTTTTCCTGTTGAAGGACACATACAAGAGGGAACCGTATACCTGCTTCAGGTGTGCATTTAAGCCTTCATGTGTGGCCTTCAGTAGCGCGCGCACTGTGAAACTATCAGGATCTTCTTTGTCTCGAATTTGAGATTCTTTTAACAGTGACTCCAGTTTTTTCCTTATGAAAGATTCCACCTGGTGCTCAGTAGTCCCATTATTCTGCAAAGAATTAAGCAATGGAGATGACTTCCCTTAAGAAGCAGAATTAAAACACACCTTTCATTCCAGCCAACACTGCTACTATAATTTGATTCTCTTAATTACCTATAAAATGTTAAGCTCATTGTACCATTTTGGTCCTTCCCACACACATACCAACCCCATAAAATGACTACAATGACTGCATTCAACTCTCAAGAATTTTATAAAATCTTATTACTTATAAAATTTTCATTACAGAGATGTCCAGAATCTGATGCTTACAGAAATTAAGTAAATTGCTCAAGGTTACAAAGCGAGCATGTAACTGAGGCAGGATTCAAACTCCGGCTCATAAACCCTTCCCACGATGCTACTTTACACCTTTGATAGACAGAAGGCCATAGAGAGTTTTTGGATAGTAGATTTTCTGCACCTACACAGGTAAATACGAGAAAAAAATATGCTATTTGAAAAAAATCACTTCCTTCACTGAGGGGGAAAAAAGTGCTATGGAAATTTCTGGAATTGAGGATTATCTTGAGATAAAAGTACTTTCTCTAGTCCCACTGTGTAATCAGAGGGAACTCACTACTGACCTGAGCCATGATTTATCACTGTAATTGCTAATTTCAAATGTTTTGATACTAAAGTTATGCCTATGTCCAGATGATGATTTATGCAATTTTTAGGTGGTCAAGGGTCAATTTTTAGGTTTCCTTGAAATCTTCCTGAGCATAATTTTTTGGCCACCTTGCTCTGCCTGAAACCTATGGAACCAGACTCTGCTCTCTGCTCCCTTCACCTCTCTGTAGATCCAACACCTTTCCAGAAATTCTTCGGCCGCTTGGCAAAGGCCAGCCACCCAAAGGTAAGGAAAGGGGTTGTCCTCCGTAAGAACAGTTCCCATATTCCTCACCAGAAGCTTAAGGCCTGTTTTCCACTTACGAAGTTGTTATTAAGAGATCATTATTTAAACCCTGGAGAACTGGGAGGTTTCCCAGTAATGCATTCATTTTCATAAAATCTTGTTAGAAAAAATACAAATGCCCTAAGGGAAATTTGGGGGAAAAGCCTACATCAGGATAGGTTGCTAAATTTCCCTGCATTAATATCACATGCTTGAATATCTTTAATATACCCAGTTAATGAGGCACTGCACTCCACTGGAGGCCCTCAGGCCGTGAAGGGGAAGCAAAGATGGGGAAGAGCTGGCTCTTGACATCAGGAGTAAATACTCTATTACTCCACAAAGGCATATGTCCCCAGATATCCTACCCTGGTCTATGCAGATGCCTACAAAAGCACAGAGAAACAGCACAGCCCAGAAGGCTACAGAGAAGAGAGGGAAATGACCAGGGCTCTGCACGGTGAGACATCAGCAGTGATGAAGAGAAGGGCTCTCCTGTCATCCATAGTTCTTGCAAAAGTTTTACATTAGTAACACATGTCCTTTAAGGCCCTGGAAAACAGATTCCTTTCCTAGAGCATGAGTTTATGGAGGAGGCTAGTGGCAGATAAGGCTGGAAATGTACTTTGGGGCCAGGTGGTGGTAAAACTTGAAAAAGTTGTGTGGAGCTGCTAAGGGTCTCTGGGCAGGTAGTGTCTGATTTACAGTTTTGAAATAATATTAACCTGGCAGTATGCACAGAAAGAGGAAAGATGTCCACATAGGAAAAGCCAGACACACTAGTTCTCACTGCAAGCACCAAGAACCTAGGCTGATGTGCTGGTGGGGACTCAATAAAGATGAGAGCTGGAGAGCAAAATTCATTTTGTATTAAACAAAGATATCCTGAGCTGCTATATGCTAGGTGAGAAACATAAATGAGGCACAAGGACACGGTCACAGAACCCTCAGAGTTACGGAGCAGACAGACACATTCTTGTCCCAGCACGAGCTGGGACAAGGAGACACAGAGGCAAGGTATGTCACAGGCATACAGGGGAGGGCACCTCATTCAGCCTTGAGAAAGTGGGAGAGACTTCCAGGAACAGAGGACACCTGAGACAAGCCTTAGAGGATGAGTGCATTGACTTCCTGTGGTTGCTGTGACAGTTACCACAAATCTGAGAGCCTAAAACAATAGAAATTGATTCTCTCAGAGTTCTAGAGGCCCGAAGAATGGAATCAAGGTGTTGGCAGGGCTACCCTCCCTTGTGAAAGATCTAGGGAAAGATCCTCCCTTCTTCTGCTAGTTTACGGCGGCTCCAAGCATTCCTAGGCCCCATGTAACTGCAGCCTGTGCCCCTCTCTTCACATGGCCTTCTTCTGTGTCTTCCCCTCTTCTTATGAGAACACTTGCCATTGGATTTTTAAGGCCCACATGATTAATCCAAGATGACCTCACCTCAAGAGCCTCATGTTAACTACATCTGCAAAGACTCTTTTTCCAAAAAGGACACATTCATTAGTACCAGGGGGACAGAACTTGGAAGTATCTTTCAGCACCTGCAAACCAACCCTCTACAATGAATAAGAGTTGATCTGGTAAAGAGGAGGGTGACAGCATTCCAACATGAGTAAAAGCAGGGAGAAGACAAACAGTATTGGTAAGAACTAGTAACCACATGGAAAAAGAACACAGGGGAATTTAGAAAAAGCACCTGAGACTGTAATATTGTGCTAAGCTTCACAAGTACTGTCACTTAACAGCACTTCATTTGAGTCACCTAATACCCATGAAGGTACACTAGGGTTAGCGGAATCTACTCACAATGATACAGAGGCAGAAAGATTCAGCTTGTCCAAACATACATGCCTATGAAGTGGCTGAACTGGGATTTGAACCTAAGACTTCCAATCCCAAATTCTGTGCCTATTCCAACAAATAATGCTGCAGCCATCCTTTCTATACAGGAAGAGAGAAATTCTCAAGTCAAATTAATCACAAGCAGGCTTGTGTTTTAAACAACCACTATTCCTATATGACACCTGAGAAATATTTCTCCACAATCCCTCTGTAGAAAATAGTAGGTTCCACTTAAAGGTCAGAAGCATATCCAAGAAAAGAAACTCCAGGTCTTGAACTCCTACTATATTTGATCAAAAGACCCAGAGCTGGGCAGGGAGCACATTTGTCACAAGGACAAAAAGGCTTGTAAGGCCACCTGTGTGCCCAGGGCACAGAGAATGCCCCTAGTAAACACCAGCTTCCTTCCCTGGCTCAGGGGCGGCACAATGAGCAGAGACGGCGAGATGAACTGTGGCCATTATGTCCAGGCACTTGCGCTGTCAGCAAGGCTAAAAATACCAAGCTGAGCTGACTGGTGAAGGTAAGGTAAAATAATGAATGCTTAATACATAGGCTACAATTATTCACTTCATATCGTCTAACCACTGGGACTTACTAAAGGAATATTTATGTCTGTTGATCTTTTCCTTCTCTGTGATTTACAGCACAAGAAAATTAGCAGCCATGGAGAACAAATAAATGTGCAACTGAGGTTTCATTAATATGTTATCATTCTGTCCTGGAATCCAATAGCACTGCTGAAGGAAAGCTGAGACCCTTGACCTCGCAACCAGCCAGGCGGCCACCGCGCAGCTGCAGCAGGGACCACCGCTGAAAGCCGCCAGCATCGGGCTCCTTGTTCCCTGCACCAGGAGGAGACAGGTGCAGAGAGGTGGGGGAGGGGGGGTGGCCCTTCAGTGCAGTCTGCAGTCATTCCCCCTCTCGCAGAAGTAATCAGGGTCCCCAAATCCTGGTTCTAAGAGGGAAATCTGACCTAGGAACATCTACCACGAATAAATAAACCAAACACACAAACATTCTTGTTTTGTCTCCAGCATACACAGAAGGATCACTGGAAAAGCAGAGGGCTGCCCGGAACCGCGCTCTCTCTAGACCGGGCGGCAGCAGGAAGGGGAGGGACTGGATTGGAGTGGCTGCCCCGTAAAGAAGGGTCCTCTCAAACAGTGGGGCTCTACTCCCCTGCACACTGGAGTCACTAGGCAGGGAGTGGTCCACCATCCCAGGCCTCACCCAGACCCATTACATGGAAATCTCTGGGCTGGGGCCTGGGCATTAGGACTTTTGAAAGCTCCTCTGTCATTCCAATGTGCAGCCAAAGTTGAAGACCTTTGCTTTAAGAAAAAAAAAGCACTGGACTATATCACCATCCCAGATTGTCTCCCCACTGCCCTCTGAGCTAGAGTCTGCAGACAGAAGGATAATACATTAGCTGCCCTTTGTGAAGGTTCAGAGCTTTCCCAGCCTGGTAACTGAAGGCCTTGGACTGAAGGACAGCTGTTTCTCAGCCACCCGCATCTGAGTTAAATAATGATTTCATTCCTTTAGTACATTAAAAGTCAAATTTATACAAAAATGGCAGAGGATAAGAGTGACTTGTAGTTCCAAATGGGAGAAATCACCTGTTCTTACAATAAAAAGCCTATTGATTCAGTTGCTATCAGTAAGAATCAGAGTTTCAAATCCTTACTCTTTCAGCGTATTTCAATATGTTTCCAAATAGCAACAGCTCTTTTAATTAAACAGAAATCCTCAGGAAGATCAGGAGAGAGATTTCTGGACTTTAGAATTCTCAAGATTATATGGGCTGTCACACAGTACACTCATGTGGGGTCACGGGAGTCCCCTGGTGCTGTAGATCTGCTCCTTCACAAGGGCAGCCAGGAGAGGACACCACCTTCTACCAGCTCAGAGCCAAGCAGGCAGCCCCTCCACAGGACTGCGAATTCAGCCTCTGAATGCGGCAGACAGACAGAAAGCTGCAATAACATTTTGAGGTGTTATGATGATGTCCATTTAGAAAATGAGGGTAAAGAGGTCAATGAGGACCTCTAGGTCCCACAGTTGACTAAGCCAGGTTTTGAACTCAGGCTGTTTGGCTCCAGAGCATGTGTGTTTGATGACTCTACTGTAGTCTCTCATCTGACGTGCCCCCCGGTATTCCAGCCCACTCTGAGTCCTCTTCCCGCTGAACCCACATTCTGCTAAGTTAATACCATATGACCTAACAGTTTAAGTTTGTTATTCATTATTTGCTTCCAGTGTGAT